CAATGGATGTATGTATGGACTGTGATGAGAACTGTACGAGCCCTCAATAAAATAAAATATATACATATATATATACCTACACCCCCCCCCCAAAAAAAAAAAAGAACTTACATACCTGGGTGAAGGTAAAAAGCATTATTTCAAGTCAAAGAAGCCATCCCGTTTATGTGAGGGGTGAGGAAGCAGAGTGGTTTCATGATGATAGAAATCAAAGTAGGTTGCTTATGAGACACACAGTTGCTGGAGCAATAGGATGTTCTGTGTCTTGACTGGAGTAGTAGTTACACAAGTGGATGCTTTTACCAAAACTCATCGAGCTATATTTGTTTTGTTGCATATACATTTTACAACCGTCCTTCATAAAACAAAGCCAGATGTAAACTGACTTCGCTTCTAACTAATGTCAGCATTTTCAGCTTTTTATGCTTTGCTTCAGGGTTCTACTATGCACAGATATTGTAAGACTCAAACTATTACATACATAATGTGTGCAAAAATGAAATTAAAAGAAATCAAGTAGAAGAAAAGTGTATGAAAATTGAAACTTACAATTACAGGTATTGTCTGCTTTTTTACCACTTAAATTTCCTTTATTTTATAGGAACAGTTATTCATAATAAAAAGGTGTGCCGTTGATCCTAGTGCCCTTTGGTAGTGTCATTTAACATGTTCTAGCAGCTCTGGTGGCGCAGCGAACTACTTAGTGAGCTGCTAAGCGCAAAGTCAAGTAGCCAAACCCCTCAGCTGCTCCGGGAAAGGATGAGGCGCTCTGTGCCCCTTAAAATTTGCAGCCTTGGAAACCCAAGGGGTCCCTGTATTCTGACCCGTCGGGTCACTCTGGGTCGGAATCGACTGAATGGCAGTGCGTTTGTTGGTGGTGTTTTGTTTCAAGTTCATATGTTCTTACTGACTGTACAAGTCCGAATGAAGGCAAAAGTCCATCTTTGACAGATCAGGAAATCGATAAGAAATGTGTTCGAATTTTGTGATATGTACTAAGAAAGGTGAAGTCAAACGAAAACTGGGTCTTCTAAATCTGAAGTCCCCTTCCATGCCTCTCAGGACCTCCCAGTATCACTTCTGTTGATGTGGCCACCTTGTTGGCCCAATCTGTTATTCTTGAACCCTTTGAGGCCCATGCTTCACCACATCCCCACCTGGTTAAGCTCCCAGTGAAGCTGCCAGTCTAGGAGAGTGGCACCGACACAGGCCCAGCTCCGTATTACAATAGATTATCAGACCTATTTGCTTCATGTCCGATATCATAGTTATTTTTGTCCAATATACATGTTTTTCCCTATTTAGGCACAAACTCTCACAGTGTGGAGGCAAGCTGATAAACACAATATTCCTCGAATCTGTTTTTTAAACAAGATGGACAAAACTGGAGCAAGGTATTTAAAGTTAATCAAATGACAATACAATTGAGTTTCTAATAGACTGATCCAGGGTCGACACACTGTGGCTCGAGAGCCCCATGTGGCTCTCTCGGTACGTACTTGTGGCTCTGACGTAAAATCACAAATAAAACCATCATAGTTTCACTTAAAAGATATTATGCTCTCAATTTTTAAATTGTGAGGGATAGTAGTGACTCTTCTGGCACAAACGTTTGCCGACCCCTAGGCTAGACCTCTAGTCAACCCCACTGAAGCACACAGCATAGCCTGTGGCACAAAGAACGCCTCAGAGGAAGCGGAGGCCGGGGGCCCAGTGGTTATGCCCTCGCTGTTCATTGAGTTTGGAGCCTTGAGTTTGGCTCTCAGAGGCAATGCAGGAGGAAGTCGGCTTCAGCCAGGAAGCCCTCCCGAGTGCAGTTCTGCTCTCACCCACATGGGGTCACTGTGAATCACAGTCGATTTGGTGGAAACGGATTTT